AAAAAAAAAAAAAAAAAAGAAGAAGTATCACTGCAAAATTTATTGAGGGTAAAAGAAAGTCCTTCAGATAAATTCCATTTTTAGTGTAATAAATTAATTACACAGTTATCACTGAAAATAATTTTGAAGCTATTCTAATTTTTTGCATTTCTATAAATAGTCTTTGATAAACTGAAAAATATACTTGTGAATAGCTCATTCATCTAAGATAAAGGATCCCCTGTCCCCATTCCAGACAGAATGTTTAAGGAAGTTTCATGGGTTTTGTTTTTGCTTTTATAATTTGTGAAAGTAATTCAGCTTATCATGGCAAATTCAAAGCTGCCATAATAGAAGAGTGAATTTTGTCAAGTCACAAAGTTGTAAGTTGAGTGACTCAACTTTTTAATGAAATTAAAGTGAATAATTTTACTTGGTAGACTTGTTGGTTAGAAAAATAATCTCTTACCAACAAAACCAAGGATTTCACTAAGAACAAGTTTCAAGGCAACAAAATGGCATTTTCCCCACTTTTTGTCATGCTACCTACACCAGACTGAACTGCATGCACAAAACCCCAAACCCAGGTTCCTAAGCACTGGCGATGATAAACAGCAATTTCAATGGTACCATATGGAAAGAAAGACTTGAAGAGTATTCTTTGTGAGATCATGCCCCCAGTGAATTAAATTTAACTAAGAAATTTCAATGAAATAGATTGGGACTGAAATGGTTGCCAGTCTAGTCATCCAATGGGGAACATGGAAATTCAGACAACGTTCGGTACTTCTGTTCCTTTTTTGAGTCCTCTTGTTACTGATGCAGTTACTCTGTTCTTTTGTTCTTGTTTACCTTAGTTTATTCCATTATTAAAATGGAGAAAAAAGGGATAAACAATGTGTAAATATTTGATTTGAAAGCTGCTCCACTGTGGGAGGAAACAAATATATAATTGGTTCCAAAGGCCATCTTTAACTCCCACAAGGTGCTCTATGCTCTTGGCTTGCTCTAATACAGAAGTGATGGGCACTGTTTCTCAAGTGACAGTCTCATTACGAATCAAAGTACATCAGGTCTCTCTCTGTCCTATACGTACCAGAACATGTTTTGGTCAGGTATAAAATGGAATAATTTCAAAGTTGGTATATCTACACTTTGAAAAGTCTTGCAGGGAAGAGTTTCACCCTGTCATGTTGACTTGGAGGTCCAGGTTTTCAAAAGATGCCTCTCCATACTTGTTTCTGTAGTAGTCCATGTAAACAAAACACAGGTAAGAATGGTCCTTCTGGAGCTGTTTTCATCGAACAGCAGTACCTGAAAGTGTGGTGTTGGCTAAATGTAACACAGGCAGAGGGTGAGCCTCTGTGTTGAACACCCAGTGGTCTAAAGGTAAAAGGTCATCACCGGAGAACAGCAGGTACAAGTATCTGAAAATAAGAGGAGAAATAAGCTTCAATTAGAATTCAACAAGAAGATTAAATGAGCTCAGTTACGATGGCAGAGAAAAGCAATAACCTCTTTTGAGCAGCTTTGATGAAAACACATCACAGAAATAAACCTTAGTCATTCAAATGATCTAAAACACAAACTGTGTTCCAGACTAGAGCACAAGAAAACCCAGTAAGATGTATGTCTAGAACTCCTGAAATAAAACAGTTTTTAAAGAAACTATTTATGAGGAACACAAAACAACAATGCTGTCAGGTGGCAAAAAAACCAACCACTACATAATTTTTCAAAGACAATGTCTTGAAAATCACACATATCAATCATGTTGTGTACAACAAAAAATTAATTCATACCTAGTAATAAATACTGAGGGAAATAAGTGAAGTATATCATTTGGATACAGAAAAGGCATTTATACACCATTCCTCCTAATATGTTAGTAGTGGTAGTGTCTACAGGTTTTGGTATGACAAATTGTTAAGTTTCAGAAACATTACAAAATCACAAGAGGCTTAGTAATTATTCTTTTTTATTCATTAAGTTTATTGGTACATTTTAGGTATACAATATGATGACATTCATCATAGGGAATTTGTACCTTTACATGATATATCTTGATTCTTATTTTTTTTCCCTTTGCCTGCCCTCCCTTCAACCCTCCATTCCTCCCTATTTACAAAGACTGTTTCCATTTTTTAATTTTCTCACATTTATTCCTTTCCCTTCTTTCCTTTCCCCTCCTCTTCCCACTTCCCCTTCCCCTTTGGACCTTTTCTTCCTATTTCACAATATCTATTACACATTTTGATCCTTATTTACACCTTCAGTTTCTCAATAATTATTCCTAATAAGTAACAGGACTGTGTATATGAAGGTAAAGATCTTGGCCTCTTCACGAGCACAAGCCATAGTAGTCCTTAGAAATTAAAAATGAGTCAACAAACAATGATTCTTACCTATAATGTCTGGAAAATTACAATCTGAGACCTATCATGGCATCATCAAAGTGAACATAAAAAACTACAGAGTCCAGGGCCAGGAATGTAGATCCCTGGTACAGCACTTGTCTAACATGTGAAGCTCTAGACTCAATTCCAGCACATTAAAAAAACAAAATATAAACACCCCCACAACACTATGGAGGCAGAAAATTTGATCTGACTCTTTTTTTTGTATGTTTGGTTTTTTTTTTTTTTTTTGCTGCCGGGGATCGAACTCAGGACCTTGAGCTTGCAAGGTAGGCAGTGGAACCATGGAGCTAAATCCCGGCCCCTGATCTAACTCTTGATGCTTGCAATAACTAGTTCAATCAATAATTTTTAAATTTTTAGTATAATGTCTCTTTATTACTGCTTTAGTTGCCGGTGAGAGTAAGAACACGTGGCACTGAGGAAAATGTGAACTGCATACTGACTTTATGACTGGTAAAGCTGGAACGGAGAGAAACAGGGCTTTCTATCTCATTCCTTGATCCTAGACCTTAAGACTTGCTTCACTAACTTATTTACCACACTGGACACAGAGAAGATGGAACTAATAGATTTGGTTAGACATAGCAATAAACTCTGCATGCTCTGCTTATCATGTGGAGACCAAAACCGTAAGCTCAAAGTATGCCTTGTATTCTAAGGTACATTCTCAGGCAACATGCTGCCTCCTGTTAAATATGTGCTAAAAAAAATGTCAGGCACATCCTAATCTCATCATTAAAAGCAACTGATGCATATGAGAGAATGGAAAGGGAGCTTTGGATCCAGAGACATGCAGGGAAGGCTGTGTGAAGATGGAGGCCAAGGTTGAACACATTTTCATGCTCTTTTTGCTATCTTTATATTTTCTTTGGTGCAATGTCTATTTAAATTTTGCACCCCATTTTTAATTGGATTTCATGTTATATTGTAGTTAACTTTGGAGAATTCTTTATGTATTCTTGACTCAAGTCCTTTATCAGATAATGATATGCAAAGATTTTATTCCAGTGTGTGGCTTATCTTTTCATTCCCTTAATGTCTTTCTAAGAGCAGACAATTTTAATTTTGAGACCGATTGGTAAATTGGCTTTTATGGATTTTGGTTTTTCATGTCATATAAAAAAAATCTCTGCCTAGCCCAAGGACACAAGGAGTTTCTTACATTTTTGTCTAAACATTGTATTATTGTAGGTTTTAAATTTAGTTCTCTCATTCATTTTGATTTTTGTATACAAATACAGAAATCTAATTGTCTCTGCACCTTTTGTTGCAAAATCTATCCTTTCTCACTGCATAGCCTTTGTACCTTTATCAAAAAGTTGTCCAGAGCATATGGGCTCCCCACTGCCATCCTGTGAACTCTCTACTCTGTTCTGTGGATGTGTCAATGACTGTATCGGTATCACACCCTTTTGATTATCACAGCTTTAAAGTCTTGAAATCTGGTTGTACTAGGCTCCAAACTTTGTTCTTTTTCAAACTTGTTTTCCTAATTGTAAGTACTTTGCTTTTCTATATAGGACATGTAGAAACAGCTTGTCAATTTCTACCAAAAAAGCCCCCCCAAAACTGGTGGCATTTTGATTGGAACTGAAAACATCTATAAATTAATTAACTTGGAGAGAATTAACAACAAGTCTTTAGAACCATAAACATTTACTTAGGTCTTCTTTCTCTCAGCAATGACTAGTTTTCAGTGCACAGGTCTTTCATGTTTTTATCAAGATTTACATCTAAATATGCTATCCTTATGCTATTATTTAAGTAGTATTCTTTCTTGGCTTCAATTTCTGATTGTTCATTGTTTGTATACAACTAACTTTAATATATCAATCCCATATCTCCAAGCTTGCTCACTTACTAATTCTGGTAACTTTCTGCTAAGTTCCATAGGATTTTCTATATGAATTATCACATCCTCTGAAAAAAAGAGACAGTTTTATTTTTTCCTTTCTGGTCTGGGTGTGTCTTTTCATTTTTTCTTGTCTGACTGTACTGACTAGAAATTTCCAGTACAATGCAAAAAAGAAGTGAAGAGAGTAGACATCCTTGTCTTCTTCCAGATCTTATGGGGAATTTGGCAATACATTTTTAGTTTTTTACAATGTTAGCTGTAAACTTTTTGTAAAAGCCCTTTATTAGGTTGAGGAATTTTCTTCTATTCTCTTTGCTGAGAATTTTGACCAGAGAGGTTGGGTTTTGTTAAAGGATTTTGTGTGTTTATTAAAGCAATCACATGGTTTTTCTTTTTTAGTTATTTTATTGATTTTCAAATGTTAAATCAACCCTATCTAGGATAAACTCACTTCATCATGATATATTATGTGTTTAATATGTTGTTAAATGTGACATGCCAAAATTTTATGTCTGTGTTCATGAGAAATACTAGTTCGATTTCCAACGAAAATTCTGCCATTATTTTATATTTTTTTTCTTCTGTACTGTTTTATCAACTTTGCTTACATTATTATTTTTTTTTTTTACAGAATATTTTCACCTCATAGAGTATGCAACCCAAGTCTTTACATTTTATCATAATAGAAAATATGTCAAAAATCTTGAGTTTTGCTCAGGGCTGTAGCTGGCTTACTTGGAAACAACCTGAGCCTTTCAAGTCTTGCTTCCGTAACTCATTATGTAGACACTGTATCTCATCATCTTTTGATTACGTTTTTATTAGTAAATGTAAACTTACGAAGTTGATTTAAATAGTGATTTTCTAAGAACAATGTGAAAAATACAAATAATTTTTATCTTTTCTCCAGTACTTATTGCCAAAAGATATTCACTGCCAAGGTTTTGTTTTACATGCAAGGAGTTTGTGTCGGCACTTTTTGAGTTATTTTATTGTGCAATTCACTGGTAATCTGAAGAGCTATTTTACAATATTATTTTATAAAACATTCTTGATTCTTCAGCATTCTCAGTCCATCCTAGGTAGCAGATTTATTTTTCCCAAATTCCTAATCTGCCATTTTAAAGATCTTCTGGAAAATTACTTTAAGGCCTTCAATTCCATGTATCATAAGAATGTTTTAAATTCCAGGGTTGTTCATTACCTTGGTGTCATTCTTGCATTTGCTCCCTTTTATGTAACTTGTATTTTTCTTCTGATTACTTTTAAGATTTTTATCACTGCTTTGTTACAAGCTTTGTTTGATGAAGTTTTCTTCATGTTTCTTCTGTTTAGACTCTAAGCTTCTTGAATCTGTGTACACAGATTATATCAAGTTTGGTCTTTTCTTCCCCTGTAGTGCTGGGGAACAAACCCAGGGCTTCCCACATACTAGGCCAAGTACTCTACCACTAAGCCACATCCCTAGCCCTGCCCATTACTTCTTAAGATGTATATTGTGTCTACCCTCTCTGTCCTCTCCTCCAGAGACTCCAATTTCAAATACTATAAGGCTATTTCAGTTGTTCTACAACTCACTGATACTCATTTTATTCCTATTAGATTTTTTTTGAAAATTGTTTTTTTTTTGGATAGTTTCTAATGTCCTATCATTAAGTTCACTAATTTTTACTTCTGCACTGTTTAATGTGCTATTAATCTCATCCAGTATATTCTTTCAACTCAAGACACTGTAGTTTTGTTTCAAGAAGGTTGACTTGAATTTTTATGTCTCCATTGCTATATAACTTTCTGAATATACAGTACATATAACTATTTTATGACAAAATGTAAACAGTAGTTAAAACAACCATTCTAAGTTTCTATTATACCTCATTACTGGTTATATTTTTCTGCCTCTTTATATAGTAACCTTTGGCTGAATGCTGGACATTGTGTACTTTCTCTTGTTGGATGGGGGATTCTTTATATTGAATCTGTATATTTTCAGTGTTGTTCAGAGATGTTGTTGGCTTCCTTGGTAACAGTTTGATCCTTTCAGGTCTTGCTTTCATTATCTGTTATGTAGATCCAAAGTAGTAGATTATTCCTCACTACTGAGGCCGTGCCTTCCGGAGTATTCCACTCAGCACCTCATGAATTAAGATTTGCT